GGCTATATTTTTTTTTTTAAAAATAGCCGTTGGGACCGTTTGGCCCGCTAAGGGACCGGGCCGGTCCCCGGGCCTGACGGGCCCAAATCATAGGACCGGCCCACAAGACCGGACGAGGCCCACTAAAACCGGGCCAAACGGTCCTGGCCCGTTTAGCCCGCGATCCCGGGCCTGGACCGGCCCACTTGCCAGCCTTACTCCTGGCAGAGCTATGGTGATGAAGAAAGGAAAGAAAGAAAAAATTAGAAATTCAGTAAATTGATTTTGAAAAAAAATAAAAATAAAAATAGGGCCCACATATTACAAATGTCAAGCACTAAATGGTCTTACTATCTGACGTGTTATTCATGTAAGGCGATTGAGATAGACGCTTCAAAGGAGGGTTTATTACAGTACAAACGAATGAGTTAAAGTTTCTAAACGGAAAAAATGTAAGTTTATTTACCGGGGTGACAAACTGATGCAAGTTTAAATGGCTCATAGGCCGTTTTGCTGATAGGATAATTGACCTTCCAGTTCCATTATGGATACTGGTCAAGCTGAATCTCAATACGTGCACTATCACGTTGCTCAATTTAGTGAGGAATGCGAGGAATGGATGTCTAGTTAGTATGCAAGCAGATGTGGACAGTAAGAGACTTTTCGGCATAAAATCAAATAACACATTTGGCACAACTCTGGCCTCCAACAATTGCTTAAACCCCAATAAAAGGTACGATTACATGTACATAAATAAGCAATTCTATAAACAATACAAGTCCTGGAAAAAAAATTATAGAAGTATATGGATCATAAACTTCGCCCATAAAAGATAATATGGAGATCATAAACTTCAGATGCAGTCTAAGGAATCTGCAAATCCAAGAATATACGAGTAAAAACATTGTTAGAAAATTATTTTTAATATTTGGGAAAAGACTTCAATCTTAATTACAAGTAATACTTGAAAGAGCAAACAATAGAAGCTCACCGTGGCGAACATCTATAGTCAAAATTTTCAATCAAACAGAATCACTTTTTTGTGAGGAAAAAGTAGATTACAAATAGAAGAACAAAGGTACATAGGAGTCAAGATGTCCTTGATAGCAAAATTATGTTTAAAGCAATAAGATATATGGAGGTACCTTATCTCTTTAAGGAAATGCTGAAACATCTCTGTTATGAGCTTATCGCATTCTAGATCAAGCACGATGACACATGACCTGACCTTGGCCACAGTCTCAAGGACCAAGGCCCTTTTACTATATGATCTGCTGCACTCGTCATGAAAATTCTCAAAGGATGGAACAATTAATTGAAAGACATCCTGTGCGTCAACCAAATGGAATGTTATTAGACGGCCGATAAGGAAGGATAATGAGAGAGTGAATTTCCGATACCTTCATTTTGTCATCATCGGATGGAGCGTCTGGATCAGAAATTCTAGTTATTTCAAAATGTGTAGAGTCAGAAAGACCTATCAAATATTAGTCTAAGGCAGTAACGGAGTAAATCTACAGGTTACTTGTCAGTTGACCGTCCAAAGGATAGGGAAAAAAGAAATTCAGTTGTTTGCATCCAAACTTAGAAACTCAATAACCACAGAGGATTCACAATACTAAATATGATTTGGTGCAAAGGAAAATCTGGTTAAAAAATCTTTTTTTAAAGCCTGCTTCAAGTTCATATCAATGCATAACACCAACAAGTGCAACAATGCAGCACCAAAAAGAGAGGGAGAACAAGGAGTATCTTGTCCATCCCATTTGCCTGGAGATGATTTTACGACATCCAAGACAAAGTTCACAAGAAAAAAGAAGAAAGAATCAAATTCAACAATTGCAATGACAAAGAAACTACACAAAGTACTTGTGGAAGCAAGGTATAAGTTCAAATATAAAGCAACTAGAAACAAATTTATATAAGATAGGGAGAGTCACCTCAACATTTAAGAATCTTCCACGAGGGACTCGTATTTGCTATTTGACCTTGGGATAGAAGAGAAGGTACCTGGGGGGAGAGAGAAGACGAGAGCAGATATTATGGATTCTCAATGACAAAAGATGCTTCAAGGTTCAAGCTGTTGTTCACACAACTTGGTGGCACATTTGACCTCATGCACTGTTTGGTGAACTTCCCAGATTTGGAAGTGCACAACACAGCAAAAATGAAGCCAAACTTTGTGCATAATATACCTCCATCATGCAGAAAGTAAAACAGAATGCATTGTTTGGGGATATTCTGGTCACTGTTTATTTCAGCACCAGTACCAGATCTGCATTCTTTAGTAACAGCTGATAATCAGGGTAGATATGATTGCTCTAGTTTACCCCAATTGTTATCCTTGGCTTGCTTCATATCAGCTAAATAATGTCAGCGATAACAAGATTAAATTTCATAGACATCATCTGCTACGTCAAGTTTCTCTAGAGATAAGATGGGGAAAAAGCTCAAGCTTCACAAGATTCTTTGAACAACATCACAAAGAATCCTTCTATGACTGGATACAAATCACAAGCATCATCTATGAGGTGAACCAATGCAAATCCCCCCACCACAAAGAAAAAGGAAAGAGAAAAAAGAGGTGCGAGCATATAAAGTAACATGTCATGGTTGCCTAATTGATATCATAACAAGACAATTTCTGAAATATGTGCGCAGGTGGTATATTTCTAACAGACAACAAAAATAACAATTAAAAGGTGGGGGGGAGGAAGCAACACAAGTATAATCATACTCAAAAGAGGCTCCATCAACAGCAAACATAGAGATGCTTAGCCACCTGTCAATTCTTGCTCATATTGACTAACCTAACTCGTTAGTGACTCATAACTCTTTCGAACAAAATTTCTCACGAGTATGTACCATGTGACATTATTGGGAATGAAACCAACAGCTATGCCTCTAGTAAGCAGGGTATAAGCATCATCAAGCATGTGCATTTTACAATAGGAAGAAATCAAGGTGTTATAAGTGAAAGCATCAGCACAAACTCCTTCAACTTCTAATTTTTCAAAGAGGCTGTGAGCTTCTCGAATTCGACCATTGTTACAAAAGCCATTTATTAGACTGTTGTACGTGACTATATCAGGTGCCAATCCACGATGTACCAGGTCTCTCAGAAACTCAAGGGCATTTTGAACCTTCCCTATTCTACAAAAGCCATTGACCAAGATGTTGCATGTTACATGATTAGGTTTTATTCCCTTTGTCAGCATTTCTTCAAAAAGTCCAACTGCTCTCTCAATTGCTCCATCATTGCAAAGTGCTTTTACGAGGCCATTGTATGTGATTTCATCAAGGGGACATCCTCTGAATAGCATATCATTCACAAGCTTAAGCGCCTCTTGGGTTTTACCTTTCCTCAAGAAAGCATGAATCAATGTGTTGTAGGTAACTGTATTGGCAATAACTCCCTCAAGGAACATATCTCGATACATCCCCAATGCTTCACCCATCTTGTCTACCTTGCAAAAACCTGAAATCAAAGCATTGAATGTGAAAATGTCTGGTTTACATCCTTTGCTTGACATGTCACCAAAAATTTCTAATGCCTGTTGAATCATTCCTTGTTTACACAAAGCTGATATAAGAGAGTTAAAACCCACTATATTTAGGCTGAGACCTTTTACTGACATCTCAGTAACAAGGTCATAAGCTTCCTGTAGACGGCCAGCCTTGGAGAAGCCATCAATCAAGGTTGTGTACGTGATCACATTGGGCTGGCAACTTTTGGATGACATTTCTTTTACAACTTCATGAGCCGAAGACAAAGATCCCTTCTTGCAAAGACCTCGAATCAGAATGTTGTATGTATAAACATCTGGTTGATAACCTTTAATCAACATGTTCTCATTCAGAATGAATTTTGCTTCATCGAACCGCCCATTAGTCACATAGCCATTAATCAACATATTAAAGATGATATTATTCTGCTCAGGTGCTTTGTTGAGAAGAACCCTTGCTTCATCAACTCGCCCTGTTCGACATAAAGCATGCATCAGAAAGCCATAAGTTATAGCATCGGGGGTGAAACCTCGGAGAAGCATCCGATCCACCAGTTTTGCAGCCTCATGAATCCTATCAGCTCGACAAAGCCCATGGATAATGTCATTGAAAGTATTGATGTCGGGTATGCAACCCATAAGAAACATCTCCTCCAAAAGTTTCAATGCATCATTTACCCTATCAGACTTTGAAAGTGCACGAATAAGAATCTGGTAAATCACTGAATTTGGTACACACCCATGTTTTGTCATGTCTCTAAGAAGTGAACAAGCAGAGTCTACCTCATTGACTATACATAATGCTTGTATCACTCGAGAAAAAGTGAATACAGAAGGAGAAATACCTTTCCCTAACATTTCATAAAACACATTCGGAGCAACTTTTGGACAATTTTCAGCCAACAGAATATCCAATACTTGATTATATGACTTAAATGTGGGTTCACATGAGAAAGTATTCCACATATCCAATAGTATTCTAGTTGCCTGCCCTGGTAAACCAGCTCTTCCATAATGCTTCATTATCACAATAAAGAGGGACTCTTTGAAAACTACCCCTTCCTCTTTCATCTGTAATAACAATCTATCTATAATCTTAAATTCCTTGGCAGCCCCAAGTTTGTCAATCAATGTATAGTAGACATCAAATGAGTGGCAATAGCTCGTCTGGCTACCAGCCCACTGGAATAGCTCCATCGATGTTGGTACATCCAAAGGCAGTGCCAATAATTTATTGAGCTGATACGGGGTAATTTTATTAAGTGATCTTCGGAGTTGCTTGAGGTTAAAAGGCTTAAGCAATCTTTCCCATTCATTCTCGGACTCCGACCCACCACTGCCTTTAGCGTTACCACACTTGTCATCAGTCATACAAGTACAAAATGCAAAAGAAGGGTTCTTATACAGAGTTCCTAGCTCTTCACGTATGTGAATCAAAAGTTTCGACCTTTTCAGCATACCTTCAAATGGGCAGTGCAGAAATTTCATAAACTAGCCATTATATGTTATTCAGATACTTATTCAAGAATTGCCAAGATAGCTTCTCCAATTTGGTTTATGAATAAACCCATTTTAGCTCCACATTGTAAGCGAAGACATTTCTTTTCCTACAACATTCAAGAATAAGATTAAAAACCATCAACCAGATTGATAATGTACAAAAACAAAAACCAAAGACATATATTAATAGAAATTGTGGACACAGGAATTGAGGTCCACTGTTCCACAGAAACTTGCCAGTCATAACAACGTAAAACCAAACAATATAATTTAAATATAAAATAAAAAACAATTGCAGAATAACAATTTATTAGAATCAAACTATCATTCCGAACATAATTTACTTCACAATCGTTCGAACGAGTGTTTGTATAGTGAATACAAACTATAGTATCAATCTCTAGTAAAATTCAATTCAGTTCAAAAATCACAATTTTTCTTAATAATGATTCACAAATCACAATTCAAAATCAAATTTTAAGCCAAATCAATTTACCAATCCAATTCAATTCAAGTTCAATCACGATTTTCCAAAAGATCGAGTTTCTAAGAGACAAAGGAAAACTTGTTGATTTCACCAAAAACTTAACGTGATGACTGAAAATTCACAGCACATTGCCCGCCTAGAGTTTTTCTTTTCTTGCAAAATAGCATCTCGGTAAGGGAAAGCTTCAATTTCAAGCAAAATTCATTCTTCTTTCACACAAAAAATAGCGAAAACAGAGGATTTCCCAAACTCTTGTTTCCATCAGTTCTGATGCCATTCCTGTCACAAGGAGTAAAAGTATTACTCTCTTATCTCTCATAAACTGCAATAATCTCCGCTTCCCCTAGATCTCTTACTCTCAGCAACATCCTGATCTCGCTTTTAGGTAATTTCTCTACTAAATCTCCTGTCCTTCAAGTAGACCATCGTGCTTTATTCCCTATGGTTACTTTTGTTGTTTCTTCTCATGGATGATAGATAGATTAACGTTTGACTCATTTAAAGGTGCTATCTTTATCCCTATCTGTATGCCACTAATATAATGATTGTTTGGCAAATATTCTAGGATTGTTCACGTCTTTTTCCTTTACATTGACATGCTTCCTTTAGTTTTCTTGTAATACAATATTTTGCCCTCGCCTTTTGTCCCAAGTGAAAGAAGAGAATTTAATGAGTTCAGCAACCTTGAAAAACTTGAAAGAAAAAAATCACAAATTGTCAAACTAATAATATTCTTTCTCATACGCTGAATAAAGTTCTGCATTTCTGTTTCATATTAGAACGAACAGTTTTAAAGCCATATTGGCATACTTATACATCTTAGATGATGCAAGTACCACATAAAGCAATTATCCTTGAATATTCTAGTAGTTAATATGTTGTTGTATTCAATTTTACCCCAAGAAATGGGGAATGACTGAACATAAGTTTAATTGAGAACAGGCTCAAATAGAGCAGAATGGATAAAAAATGATTCATATAGCCGACTCCAACTAGCATTTATTTATTGTTTTTGTTGTACTTCTATGTGCTAATTTTATTACTAGAGCTAGCTGCTGTTGTTTGCATTGCTGCTTGCATCAGTTTATCCTCATTGCTGGTTGCATTAGGATAAGAGGAAAGAATGGAATAACATCATTAAAAAGAAAAAGGCTGAAAAAGTGGAATAAGAATCCTCCACTTTTGGTTGTAATTGTCAAGTTGAGCACAGCTTAATTTGTACATCTTCTGGCTTAAACTTTGTCACACCTCCTTTTTGCGGGGCAAAGGAGTTTTTCCAATTAAAGTGACTTTATTTGAAATGGGATTGATTTTATTTTATTTTTAGAAGAGTCGCCACTTGGAATAATTATTTAAGATGTCCCAAATCACCATTTATTTTAAAATCCTAATTCAAGGAAAGTTGACTCTATTTACGGTTTGCGAACACAGAAGATCGGGTAAGGAATTCTGTAAACTCGGGAGAAGGTGTGAGGCACTCCCGGATTCCGTGATTTTAGCACGGTTGCTTTACAATTACACTTGGCTTAATTACTTGATTATGACATGTTTTAGACCTATGTGCATTTTTACCTTTTACCACTTTTATTATATATTTAAACCGCTTTTAGTATTTCTAGAATTTATTTGAACAAGTTACGATGTCGTACACTTGCCGTTCTATATATACCGCAAATCGCGCCACGTGAAACGCACCCGCAATTTACGACATGTTTATTTTTACTAAATGATTTGAAGTTATAGGGTCAAGCCATGCGAAAGTACCCCTGAGTTTTGGAGTTATGTCTAAGGGTGGGCATTCGGTACTTCGGTTCGGTATTTCGGTATTCGGTTTATCAATTGTGTATACCAAATACCGTACCAAAGTAGTTCGGTACGGTGCTGTATTTCTTATTTTGGTTCGATATGGTTTCGGTACGGTTTCGGTTTGATACATAATGTATCACGTTGTGCTAACACTGCTAAGAGCCAAAGCAAGCAGAAACAAAATTGCACTGCATTCCTAAAAGATTATAAAATTCATTTGGACTACGCCCAAGTTGAATAAATCAACAAATTGCCATAGAGTCCAAAGGTGTGGGAAAAAAGAAAGAAGGCAAAAGGAACTATATTTTGGAACCATAGGAGAAGAAAACAGAATACTAATCTTTAAGAGTTTTGCTTTACATCCCTTTCTAAAGTGACAACAGCGTCAAATATTTGTGGCTAACAAATAACATTATGTCAATACATACGTTTATACTTTATAGTTTATACCGCCTTTTGTAACCAAAAAAGAAGCTATTGGTTACAAAATACAAACTGAAGATTAAAGAAGTTGTGAACCTGTTGAAGAGTTGGAGATTGAAGAATGAAGGTAAAAAATGAGGAAACAAGCCGTCACACTTGAGAGTCGTCGGCGCCGAGGTTGTGAAGTCACTGTGACGCCGTCTCTATCGCACTCGCAGCACTCGCAATCGCAGACGATCTGTTCTTCACTTCTTAGTTCTTTCTTGAGATTTGAGAGAAACCTAATTCTAATTCCTATCGTTAGAAACAAGGGAAAGAGACTAAGAGAGTAAGGGACTTGGGCTTAGTCTTATTGGACTAGAAATACAAACATAAAATTTTGGGTTGGGCTAGGGCAGTGTAGGACTAGGATAGGAATTAGGAAACACATGAAATACTTAAATAATTCGGTATTTCGATCTACCGAAATATCGAATAACCGAAAATTTAATACCGAAAAAATCGAAACCGAAATACCGAATTAATTCGGTCCGGTTCGGCATTCGGTTTTTCGGATTTTATGCCCACCCCTAGTTATGTCATGACTATGCCACGGGAACTGTACCCATAGCCATGACAATTCATATTATTGATCGTGCCTAAAGCAAGCTACGATATTCATAAATTATTTATCTCTTGCAAATCCGAGACAATTATTTTGTCTATCTTCACTCTTCCCTTTCTCTTTTTGCGACGAGTCTTGAATTGATTCACGACTCGCCTCACTCCCTCACAATAGTTATTTCCGCTCTTTTTTTTTTTATGTAATGGACCTTGGATGTACCGCAACCCACATCTCTCACTCACAATTATTCTTTCTATTACCCATGGGGCCGCGCCTCTAACCTAGGCCTAAATCAATCAAAAGAAGCACCTTGGGTTCTTTCTCAATTATATAGCCAATTATTAAGAGGCCTAATTACTGAAACAGGCAGTTAAACAAATTCCTATTGTTAGTTTATAAATATGTATAGTGTAGTCTTGTCCCACATTGGAAGAGGAGTAATATCTCCTTGTAGTGTATAGCTATAAATAAGGACCTCTTGTATTGTATTTATCATCCAATATCAATAATATATTTTCTCCCATGCCTTCTCACATGGTATCAGAGCATTAGTGAGAAAAGATCGCTGTGCGTCATTCCAGCGTTAACCGGGAAGAAAGAACTTAGTCATCGTGTAATTTTTCCGGTGACCTAAGGCTTGTCTAAGTGAAAGTCACTTTCTGTCGGTGTTGTGCTAAAACCAACACCACCACGAGGTAGATCACCCTCCGACTACCAACCCCTGAAATTTTATCCGGCAGAAAAGCCGCCACGCTCCTCCACGCGCCGGAAACAACTTTTCCGGCGAGGGTTCCGGCCACTTTCCGGCCATTTTTTCGCGAAGCTTCTTCAGGACAGTGTGTTCTCCTCAAAATTCCGAGCCTACCCATCTAATTCAAATCAAATTCCGGCCACTTTTATATTTTTCCGGCGTGAACAGTGACTTCTCTGGCCATTTTTTGAAAATATTTCTTCAGGACAGCTTGCTCACAAAGGAATTCCGAGTCTATCCATCCTGGTTACAACAAATTCCGACAACTTTGGAATTTTCCGGCGAGCTACAGTGTTTCCGGCGTGAACAGTGTTCCGGCGCAGAACAGTGTTCTGTTTTCCTGCTGTAAACGGTGTTTTTCAAGCTATTTCTTCAGCTACTACTACAAATTGTAGCGACATGGGGACCGATGATTTGAATAGTCGGATGGTTTCTTTAGCAGAGTATATTGAGTTCCTTCAGTATAAAGCATGTAA